GGGGGGGGTGGGAGGAGGCTGGCCTCCTGCGTGTGGGAGGAGGCCGGCCTCCTGGGTGTGGGCTGATGGCCCCTCTGTCTGATTCCACCCACAGCCTGGACTCGCTGAGTGAGAACAAGATCGGGGATGAGGGTGTCGAGCAGTTGTCAGCCACCTTCCCTCGGCTGAGGGCCCTGGAGACTCTCAAGTGAGTGCTGGAGCTGCCCTTCCTGCTGCATTGGGTTTTTGTGTTTTTCCGTTCACTCACCCATTCAGTCGTTTCTTGATTGAATCACGCGCAAACGCTCATTTGTTAATTTAATCGGCGAATACCAAAGGAGCACCTACTATGTGCAGCCACCATTCCAGGCCTTGCAGACCCAGCTTTTTTCTTTTCTTTTTTTTTAACGATTTTATTTATTTGAGAGAGAGAATGAGAGAGAGCGAGTATATGAGAGGGGGGAGGGTCAGAGGGAGAAGCAGACTCCCTGCTGAGCAGGGAGCCCGATGCGGGACTCGATCCAGGGACTCCATGACCTGAGCCGAAGGCAGTCGCTTAACCAACTGAGCCACCCAGGCACCCGCAGACCCAGCTTTAAACAGAACAAACAAAGCCCCTGACCTCAGTGAACTCCTCGTAAACAAGCAAACAAATAAATCCGTGATTATGAAGCACACACTGATGAACGTAAATAACATTTAAGGAGAGGAAGTTACACTGGGCGGTGTGAGACGAGAGACGGACTAGGATGTGTCACTAAAACATTATCATCAAAATAGTAAATATTTATTTAAAAAAAAAAAGGAGCACCTGGGTGGCTCAATCAGTTGAGCGTCCAACCCTTGATTTCAGCTCAGGTCTTGATCTCAGGGTTGTGAGTTCAAACCCGGCGTTGGGCTCAAAAAACACCTGTCCTGGGTTTTGGGAAGTGGATGGATGTGATGTAGGAGGATCTGCATGATTGTTTACTGAACGTGGAGGGGATCATCAAAGTCTGTCCACGCTCTGCTTCATAACTGGGCCCGGGATGGCAGCAGGGTTCACTTTGGAATTTCCTTGACTGTAGGACATTGAGACTTGCCCAGTAATTTATAGTATTCTAGGTGATGCTGTGGGTAAGCTAGATCCTCTCTCCGCCCCCACCACTCCTTTCTTTGTCCCTCCCTCTCCTACCTTTCCTTCCTGTCTTTTTCCCACCCACTTAAGTATTGAACACCTACTATGTACTTGGCATTGATGTAGGTACAGGGCTACAGTAACCAAAATAACAGACCTGCCATTAAACAAATAATATGAACACGTATTCAGTTCTAGTTGGGAAATGTGGTCCAAAGGGAAAAGAAGTATGCTATCAAATCATAGAACAGGTGTGGGGGGGCGTGACCTCTCTCTATTTTCATCCTCACCCCCACATCCCACGCAGCCAAGGGCGGCACAGTATCTTTCTATTTACTAAGAATCAGCATGTTACCCACAGTGCTGCTCACAGCCTGTTACCCACGACTCTCCTCGAGGTAGATAGACATGTGTTTGCTGCTCGGGCCACCCTGTGGGGAAGTGAAAGTTCCCCAGCTCTGCCCCGGAGTGGGTGGGCACGGATGGGGAGGGGCGTGAGAGTTTGGTCCTGAGCCCTCCCCCTCGCTGTGTCCCTGCAGCTTGTCCCAGAACAGCATCACCGACGTGGGCGCCTGCAAGCTCGCCGAGGCCCTGCCCTCCCTGGCTGCGTCCCTCCTCAGACTGAGGTGAGTGGGCCCCCCTCACCAAGCTGGCGGGCTGGGGGAGGGTGGAGAGCCACACCACCACCCCGCACAAGAGGATAGCGAGGGCCTGGGGAAATGCACCTGACAAACCGGGCAAGTTGCTTACTCGTTTGGAAAATGGGTACCATCCCAGTGGCCTATGGAAAGCGCTTGGCGCAATGCCTGGCTCTAGTGCACAGTAAATATTGGTCTTCTTTCCCCAGGGGATGGCAGGACTGAGCCTTTTCTGGGGTGCAGTGGTGATGGCTTCTAGAAGCTGACCGTGCATTGGCGACCTTGGCTGGCTCTTGCAGCTCACACAGTGCCTGCACTGCCACCTTCTGGTTGGCCTTGGCATAGCACTTTTTGCTTTTGATGACTTCCAGCCTGCCTCCCTGGTGGTCCCAGGGGACCACCAGGTGATGAGGGGAGTTCAGACCAGAGCACCAGCCTTTCAGCTCAGCCTTGCCAGCTCTCTTCTCTCTCCAGGCTTTCCTACTCCTTCCTCAGCCTTCATCCCCTGCCAAGGACAGCCAGAGCCACATTCCCAGGGGAGATGGTATCTGGTTCATCTAGTTATTGACGCATCCACCATTTATCGTTCCAGCCAGGGTCACCATGTGCAGCTGTATGGGTTGTGTATTGTGCAAATCATAGACTATGTGATTGTCCCTCCCCAGAGTTGTGCAGGGCATCTAATTACCTCTAATATCAACCATGGGCCAGTACTTGTGCTAGGAACTAGAGATTCAGCTATGAACAAAACAAATATTCCCTTGCTTTCAAGCTTCTTGCCTAATAGATGAGCACATGTACAAACAAAATATTTTTAAATAGTGATTTGTATGGGGGAGGAAACTAACAAGGGCCCAGGAGGGTACAATGGGGAGTATTGAATTCATCAAGGAGGTCAGGAGACCCCCTTCCATGGGAGGTGCTCAGGAACAAGCATTCCAGGAGGAGGGAAAAGAAGATGCAAAGGCCTTGAGGTGGGAAAGAGTTCTGTCTTTGCCAGGAGGGCCACTGTGGCTGGCTAAAGAGAATGAGGGACAGCAGGTGGGAGATGAGGTGGGAGAGGTAGGGGAGGCCAGAATATGCAGGGAGACCTTCATAGGTCCGGAGAGGGCTTTTGGAGTTTTTCCATTGTGAATGGAGAAGCATATGGGGCAAATGGGGGCAATATCTGATACGACTGACATTTTAGAAAACACTGCTAATTAAACCATGGCATTCATTGATGATCAGACACATCTGGATCCCAATGATATTCAGATGTGAACATGTACATCTTGGCATCGATGAAATATGGGAAGAATCCTCTGTCTGTGGGAGGAGGGGGAAGCCCCCTGGATTCTAAGACCCCCTGCCCCCAGGAAGGAATTGTAAAGCCTCCGCCTGGTTCTGGCCCTGGTCCTGGCCAACCTGTGACATCAGGAGATGCCGGAGGTTAACCTTAATCTGCTTTGCTGCAGTGTAGACCTGCTGCTTTTACATGCAGCCCTGCAGTGTAACCCCGAAGCTGAGTCATGGCGAAGTCATGGCCTTGAAATGAGAACCTCGGGAGCACCTGGCGTGTTAAAGGGATGATTGTTACCGAGTGTACAGCTTCATTTGGCACCGGCGACACCCATCGCTTTATTTACCATGCTGCTCACGGTAGCTGTGACCACACCGAGAAACCCGTGCTGGCCCAGTGGTTCTGGTTTTTTCTCTCCCCCACTATTCCCCAGTGCTGGTCATGCCATCTACGGTAACTCATATAACCGTCACCATCCCCCGCTTCCTCCCCTGCTCCAGGGGGTAGTAATAACCACAGCTAGGATTTAGTCATTTCACGTGCCGGGCTCTGTTTTGGGTGTTGTACCAGCATGAACTCATTTACTCCTCCCTGCGATTACTCTATCGTGCCCATTTTCTGGAGGAGCAAACTGAGTCACAGAGGAGTTAAGTAACTTGCCAAAGGTCACACAGGCCACAAGCCCCGGAGCTGGGATTTGAACTTGGGAAAATCTTGGCCAGGAGTCTCTGGGCCTCAGGTTGCCCCTCTGTAAAATGGGGCAGGGATCTGCCTGGACGTGGATCCCCATGGGCCCTGACCTCTGTTTCTGGCAGCCTGTACAATAACAGCATCTGTGACATGGGAGCTGAGAGCCTGGCACACGTGCTTCCAGACATGGTGTCCCTCCGGGTGTTGGAGTGAGTGTGGACAGTGGGTGGCAGGGGTCTGGGGCTCGGGGGGACTGCGGGGTCTCCTGCTGCCAGGCTGGGAAGGGCTGCTTGTCGAGAGTGCGGGGGTGGCCTTGGTCGGGGGCTGGATGGCCCCGAGTGAGGGCCAGGCCCCAGGATGGGTTTCTCTCCCCAGCGTCCAGTATAACAAGTTCACGGCTGCTGGGGCCCAGCAGCTAGCTGCCAGCCTGAGAAAGTGCCCTCATGTGGAGACACTGGCGTAAGTCTTGGCCCCCTATGGGTGGAGGGCCCCCGGCTTTCCAGGCGTGCAGCTCCTGTGAGCCTTGAGCTCAAACCCCGCTCTCACCCTCACCAGTGTGGGAACTTGGACGAGCAAACTTTGCCACCCTGGCCTCAGTTTCTTTGTAAAATGGGAGTGGTAATATTTACCCCCAAGCAGTTTTGTGAGATTCAAATTAATCTTAGAACAGTGGCTGGTACCTGAAAATGCTCAATGTATTAGGGTCAACGATATGAAATCACTTATATTCTATTATTTTGGACCTGGCAAATTTGGCCATTTCATATGGTTCAAACTTATGTGTTATCCCATCACTATGGTGTCTGATGTCTGGTATCAGTACTTTAAATTCTTCCAAGGCACTTTCACCTACATAATCCCTCATATCTTCTAGGGTAGAATTTATAAGCCCCATTTTACAGATGAGGAGAATGAGGCACAGAGAGGCTAACTAACTTTTTGGAGGTCACACAGCAAGTCAGTAGTAGAACCAGGTCTAAAGAAAGGGGTCTTGGGGCTCCTAGGCCTCTGCGATCCCTATAACCCCACACTGGTCTGGTTCTGCCAGGTGGGAAGTCTCCAAGGGTCTAGGCTGGGTGGTAGGAGAGAATTGGGGCCCCCTTCTCTCCTCTAACCTGGCCCCTGCACGCCATACCTGTTGTAGGATGTGGATGCCCACCATCCCGTTTGGTGTCCATGAACACCTGCAGCAGCTAGACTCACGGATCAGCCTGAGATGAGCTCTGTGATGCCCGGGATGAGGTAACCAAGGTGGGCTTGGACAGGGAGAACTGGGGGTGGGGCGGGGCGGGGGGCGCTGCTGGGTGAGCACCTCGAGACTATGCACCACCTGGGGCCTCCACCTGTGATTGGTGGAGGTGTCTTTACAGGCTTTGGGGACTAGGCCCTGAGCCTCCTGCCTGTGGCCAGGCATGGAGAGGTGGGGGAAGGACGGGGGTGGGGGGATGGTCAGCCATCCACAGCCCTTAGTTTGGGGAAGAGCTTCCCTAGAGGTCCCCCCAGCCACCCCTGCCACCTGCCCTGCATGGTCTTCATAGGAATTTGCTCTACATGTTTCTGTGCAAATGACTGTCCCCCGACTCCTGTGCCTCCCCAGCCTGTGATGTCCCCCTCCTCCAATTCCTTCTCATCCCCAGTCTGGACAGCGCTCTGTCCATTTGTCCAGCAGCCCCCTCCTGAAGCTCTCTGACCTCGCCTTCTCCTGACCTCTCACAGCATGTTCTCTGAGGACGCTGACCACGCTGGACCTTGAACTGGTTATCTGTGGACACAGTTGTTCTTGGGCCCATGAGCCAAGCAGCCTGGCGCCCAGCCCTGCCGGCTCAGGGTCGGCCCCCACCCAGCCGCGGGAAGGACCTGCTCTGCGGATGGACCTGGGCCCGGCTCCAGGCCCCCTGCGGGGCCCAGGTCGATGGCACCCCCGGCAGATGGGCTGGGTGCCCGGTGGCCGCTGCAGTCCACCCAGGAGCACTGAGGCAGACCCTGCGGGACGCTCCTGACAGTGGTGACCAGGCCGGAGCGGAGGAGCAGGGCGGCCCCATCCTTGCGTCCCCAGGTCCCTACTGGCCTGGGGAGAAAGCACTTCTCCACGCTGCTCTGCTAATAGGGCACGCTTGGTGCTCTGCGGACACCAGCAGCCTGCCCTGCCTGCTCCTTTCCCAAACTGTGACAGGCAGGGATTCAGTGGCAACTGCTTTGTGTCTGCAGGACTCACTGTTTTTGCACTAACCTGGTTGAGGCCAAAGCTTGGCCTGGTGCAGACACACTGGACTTTAGCTGGAAAGAGCTGACAGTACACTAATGGAGGGGGGAAGGCCTCTCAGCCTTCATTTCTTGTGTTGTGTTTCACTACATTATAAAGGGCTTGTTAAATCTCACGGGCATGTCCACCGTTTGAGTTTATACCGTGATTACCGTTTTGGGGCGCCCACTGTTCGGTTATCGAACGCATCACAAACTCCCCCCAAGATGCAGTGACTTAAAACGACTTTATTCTGCTCCCAGGCCGGTCATGTGGGCTGGGCTCGGTGGGCATGCCAGGTCTCTGCCCCACTCTGCGTCAGTGGGGGCGGCGTGAAGTCTCGGGGACTCCATGCCGGCTGGGGGCCTGGAGCCTTGGTTCCTCTAAGGAACCGACAACAGAGGGGGAGCCTCTCCATGTGTGCTAATTTGGGCTTCCTCATTGCATGGCAGCTGGGTTGAAGGGTGGTCACCCCAACTGGAAGAGGGAGATAGAGACAGAGACCACAGAGAGAGGTATCCTTTTCATGACCCAGCCTTTCGAGTCACATAGCACCTCGTGCTCCATATTCTTTGTTCCGTGGGACAGGGGCCGTGGCTCTCCTACCACTCCCCACGCCCCCCGGCCCCCCGGCAGAATCCACCGTGGCCCAAGTCCTGTCTCTCCAGAGAGGATCTTCCTACGGCATCCCAAGCTTTAGTGGTGTATTTGTTATTTGGGGCTCGGGAAGGTTGATGCCCCGTAAGCCTTGCAGAGGGGATATTTCCCTCTGCCTCTGTCTGACTTGGCGTTCTAACCTGGGAGCCGCTTCTTAGTCGAGCCGGCATCTTGCCTTGGCCATGCCGAGCCTGGAAGGGACCTGGAAGCTTTGCTGTCTACACCGAGGGCTGCCAGCTCAGCTGGTGTTATTTTTACTGGAGCACGGCCTGCTTGGTCAGAAGTCCCAATTCAGGACAAGCTGGCTTTCTCCCGGCGGCAGCTCTGTGGCACCAGCCCTGGTGGCCGGTTCCCAGACTCTCCTCCTCTTCCCAGAAAGTGGGAGTCAGGGGTCAGGAGGATCAGAGGGATTTGGACCCAGCTGCCGAGTTGGCAGTCCCTGCGGAGAAGGATGTTGTCTTCTGCCTTGGCCCTGCTGTGAAGAGCACTGGGCGTTCTGACCCAGGCTTGGGTTTTAAATAGCATGGGCATCACTCTGCAGGGACTCCCGTGTGTGCAGCCACAGGGGTGAGCGCCCCTTGGCCGGGTGGGGAGGGCACCATCACAGAGATGTTGTTCCGAGATGACAAACAGTAATAGTCCGAGGCCATGGTTATTCGTAGTTCTGACTTCTTATACGATAGCTACCACTCACTAAATAAGGTGATACCCGTAAAGTGCTCATCACAGTGGAAGGGCTATAGTAGGTGTTCAATAAAAATTAGCAACCACGACTTTGTGCCAGTACCACGTTAAGCCCTTCCTGCTCAAAGGGACCACAGCCTAGGGCCAGCAGCAGACTCCAGAGCTAGACCACGTGGGCTCAGTGCCCAGCTCACCACTTGTGCAAATTACTTCTCTGTGCCTCAGTCTCATCGTATGTAAAATGGGCATAATTACAGTACCTTCTTCACTATGCAGAGATTCAAGGAGTTAAGACACTGACAGCAAGAGCCTGGCATACAGCTCAATACTTGCTAGCTGTCCTTGTTATGTATCAATCTGTGCTTTGTTCCTGCCTCTGCCTGGAATGTTCTTATTAGGCCCTTCATATTGGACAACTTCTGATCCTGTAGGACTCGGTCTAAATGACAGCTCCTCAGGAAGGTCTACCAGACCATCCTATTAAATAGACACCCCGACCCCCACTCTCCAAACTGGTCATTGGTTTATTGTTTTCATGCTTATTTGTTGTGGTTGTCTGCTCTTGTCCTAGGACGTGAGCTCCAAGAGGGCAGCTCATTTGTCTGCTTTGTTCATTGTTGTGCCCTCCGTACCTTGCAAGGTGCCTGAACATAGTAAGTGCTCAAGAAACGTTTGTGGAATGAATGATCCTCACCACAACTCTGCTTATGTGCTTTGTTCATTCCACAAATATGTAGAAGACACAGTGGGCTACTCAATAAAATGCTCAAGGTTCCTGCTCTGGGAAGTCTTGTATTTTAGTAAATTAGAAAAACTCCCTGGGCAGGGCTGTGTGGTGTGGTTGGGTGGTCCATGCACTGCACAAAGGCACCTGAACAAGGGGGCAAATGGGGGTTGCAAACCAGTGTGGACTCTGCTTGCCAAGCTGTGAGTCCTGATGCGGAGCGATGTCAGCCCAGCGGGGCACCTCTGTAATTATTAGCACAAAGTCATCTTATGAGGTACGTAAATTACTGTCCCCATTTCACAGATGTGACTTGCCTAAGGCCACACCCCTGTAAAGGAGGGAGTCAAGATGCCAACTCGCCTTTCGGTTTCCATGGAGGGGTGGCTCTCCATTGGTACAGGCACAGCGTGCTGGGATTGCTCTCTGAGAGCCATTCGCTGGGGGGGCGGGGGGGGGCGCGGGCGGGGAGCGATGCCCAGAGGAATAAACTAAAAATAAACTAAATAAATCCTGCTTCCCCTCAGGCCTCTCCCCCATCAGAAACCTCTCCCTTCGCCCGCTCACCTCTTTTCCTGGGCCTCTCAGATGTGTTCTGTTCACAGCCCTTGATGCCCTTTCTTAGCAGCACAGGAAGACGAGGGTTTCTGGGGCTGTTTTTTTTCTCTGGAGTTCTGCGGGGGGCTTGACCCTCCCTCACCTGTGTCCTCACCCACACGACGGAGCCAAACATTGTGCCTTGTGTAACTCGGTGTATGTGAGGGTGCTTTGAGAAGCATCGGGCACTGTGCAGAATGAGAATCACGGCTATTTTCTGATGAAACTGCAAGTCGACCCAACTTCACCCATTCACCTGCTCCCTCCCTTCCTGATTCCCTGCGCTGTGGGCACGCTGTGGGCACGCAGGGAATACACAGGGAATACCGCGCCTCCCGTATCTCTGGGATCAGGGCCACTAGGCCTTGGCCACCACGCCCCACAGCCTGGCCCTGGCCTTTCTGGCCTGACCCCCCGCCAGCCTGGCTTGGGGGGAACTCTCCCAGCCCTGCTGGGTCCCAAGCTGGGGAGGTCCTGACTCTTCCACCTTTTGTGGAATGCGACGTCCTGCCTAAGGGCTCCTTTCCCAGATTTCCAAAAAAAAAGAGGCAGGGTCCCCACAGGCTGGAGTTGCATACATGTTTTAATTGAAAGAAGTCAGCCTCCTAAGTATTGCTTTTACAGGTTTATCAACATCAAGTATACATACCACTCACATTTTCAAAAATACTTCTGGCCAGAGGAGCAACGTGGCATTCTCCCGGCATGATGTATCAGTCCTGGCAACTTGATGAAGAACAAGCAACTTGAAATGAGTTAAGTCACACCCGACCCTCAGCCCCTGACATGATCTGTGGCTTCTTTTCCTTCTAACTTACTCCCTGAAATAGTCACTGCATCTAAGACCAGCCTCGGGCCCAACCCGACCGGGCTGGGGGCTCCAGTGGCATCAGATGAAGCTGGGAGTGGCTTCCGTGTGTGTCCGCAGTTTGAAGTATCCTCTCGAAAGATTAAGTGGGAGAAGCAAGTGCAGTCGGGGATGAAGAGCAGGGAGGCAGACTCTGGCTGGGTTCTTGTAAACATCCATCGCAACTGTGAAAGGTCAAAAGCCAAGGCAAGGCCATGTGTGCGGCGCTGTGGGCGGGGGAGGTCTTCGGATGCCCCTGCCTTTCCCCTTGGGCAGGGGCAAAGGCCTTCTGGGCCTCCACTCTCAGTCTCAATCTCTCCGCCCCACCCTCCTGGGTCCGGACGGAAACCTCTCTGTTGGCACGGAGCTTTTGGGGGAAGAACGCCTAGCGAGAAGGGAAAAGGGGTGTTACCAGCACGAAAGCACTGTCCTGCTGTCGCCCATTTGGTGGTGGCCTCAGGAGGCTTGGGGCGCGGCAGGGAAGCCTTCCTCCAACCCTTGCATTCGGGAACCATCAGAAATCCCAGACGCAGGCTGGTCGTGTTGTCCTACAACTTTTATGAACTCTTTTTTAATGAATTTGCCTGATTTCTAAGGGCCCTGGACTGGACAGCCAGTGCAATTTTCACTTGGGAGAGGAAGGATGGTCCATTCCTGGGAGGGAGGAGGGGGATCCTGGTACCTGAGGAAGGAGGGCAGTGTGCTCAGGGGTCACCCAGGGCCTGCTGGCCAATCTGAGCCCCAGGGCTGCTGAGCAAGCTCGGTTAGTGGGCAGGGCTTGGCAGCACCACCCACCTTGCCCAGAAAATGCTTCGCAGGCTACCGGAAGGCTGTGGCCACAGCCAAGCTACTCAGCAGCCCCGCTGCGCTGGTCCTCCAAGACATGGCATCATCCACGGTGCCTGGCCCCTCGGCTGGTCCCCATTTCCCATACCCTTCACTTTACGTGTCTAGCTGGGTGACAACGAAAAATGCACCCTCACCCCATTTCCAAGGGGCGCCGAGGGGGCAGAACTGCTTCTACTGAGAACGATGCATCTCCCCAAGGTTCAGAGAAGCCAAGTGACCTGAGTCACACAACTGTGACAGGCAGAGCTGCCACTGGACTGGTGGCAAAGGTAGAAACCATCATAATAAGGCAGCTGTCACCCCCTGAGCTTTTACTATGTGCCACGAGCCCCAGGCAGAGGCTGTGGGTGCCTTGCTCCGTTCCTTCCGCTCACCCCTCCAGGGCATGCCAACCTGGCAGCTTCCACCTGCAGGGACCTGCCTCCAAAGCCTGCCTGGCCCCCAGGCTGCAAGTGCAGGCAGAGCCAATGTCTCCCGAGAGCTGCCTTCCAACCAGTGATGACCAGGAAGGCGGGGGGTCAATACCCCAGCTCCTGCACCCTGCAGCTGAGTCTCCACCTACCCTGGTCCCCGGAGTTCCTGAGCAGGACTGCAGTGGTGACCTACTGGATGACAGAACCCTTTCCTGTCTCACCAACCCACTCCGTACTGGTAGTTCTGGGATCACCTCCCGAATACACGACTTGTACTTGAACCTTGGTTCTGGGGTCTGCTCCTGGGAGAGCAGACCTGAGACAGAGCAGTACCTATATCATGTCATTCAGCCCTCCTAAAACTCCTGGAACGACACATTATTATGAGTCCAGTTTACAGACAAAGACACTAAGGTTCAGGCACGGTAAGTAACTTGTCCAGGATGCTCAGTTCTCCAGGCTTTCGTTCCACTGGAGATTTTCAGCACTACCTAATTTCATACCTCCTGCATGCCAGGTCCTGAGCTGGGTGCTGGGGACCCCGCGATAAATGCGGCCATGCTTTTGAGACACAATCTGGTGAGCAATCGCAGCCCAAGGTAAGACACCCGACAGGAGGGAGCACAGGGGACGGATGGAGCCCAGAGCCCAGGCAAGGCTGTGCACGAAGAGCATGCCAGGTAGGGGGCAGGCTGGTGACAAGGGCACAGCAGGCCCTAGAACCCCCTAGAGTTTGGTACAGGGAAGGAAGCAAGAAGGTAAACCATGGTGGACACACAGCTGGAGAGGGGAGGAGGGGCCAAGTCAGCCACGTTTCTTGTGCTGCCAGATTCACCTTCTAGAGGCCAGCTGGGAACACATCCTTTCACTGCTGAGACCCTCCCTGGCTCCCACTGATGACACAGGCCAAGTCCTTGCGTCCTGGGGCCCCAACCCACTCCCCACTGGACCTGGCACGAGGGGGAAGCCAGGGCCGAAGCCAGAGCACTGGTGAGCTCAGCCCTCTAGAAAGGCATCTATGCCCCCCCCACCCCTCCCACCAGGAATCCCCCTTCTGCTGACCTCCCTCCAAGGAACTCCTAGGGTTCCCTGTGGGGCCAGTGGTGGTGCTCCCCAGAGCAGGGCTCACTCTAGAGATCTCCAAAGCAGGGGTTCATACTTAAGCCCACTTTAGACTTGTGTGGACTGGGTATCAGAGAGCACAGAATCACCCCCAGCATGGGGACCCACTCCTCTCCCAATCTCGGTGTCCGCGACAAGCACGGAGTCCAGATAAGCGTCAGTCTGGCTGGAACGTGTCTCCGACACGTGCCAATCTCCCATCTGACCAGGCCCAGGGCCCCACAGGCGCCGGCTCTAGCTGGATCCACTACTGTTCTCTGTTTTCACCGCGCTATCTGCAGGGTCACCTTCTATTTATGGCAAGTGATGCCAGGTTTCCACTTCTGATAGTAATAGAAAGTTCCTGTCCTTCCAGAGCATCGCTTCACTTTAAAAAGAGCTCGTTTAAAGAAAACAAGGACACAAATGAGAATTCAAACAAGAGAGCAGAAATTGCTGACAGTGTCATATGGGGTTTCGGAAACCCCGATCAGAGTTGGTCCCACTCCTTCCACAAAAGGCCCAGACAGGCCGGGGACCTGCCCTAAGTCACAGAACAAGGTGAGGACCGCCCCGGTCTCTGTGTCCTTGGCTGGAGGATGTCCTGAGACCACTCATCTGTGCCACCCACTGTGGCTGTTAATCAGTCCCCTTGCTCCTTAACTTGCAAGTCTGGCCTCAGAGCAAACCCCCCAATGAGAATCTTGAGAATCTCAGTAACAGGCGGTATTTCTCCAGCACTCTACACTTACCTTGTACTATCTGCTTTAACTCTTGTCCTAGCTCATGTATTCCTCAGAACAACCCTGGGTGGCGGGGGGGTGGCCAAGCAGGCTCATCGGGAATTTCAGATGGGGCTCAGAGAGGCTTCAGTAAATTGTTCAAGGCCACACAGCTTGCAAAGGGCAGAGGCGGGATTTGAACCTCCGTGGTCTGATCTTAGGTTCATCTCTTTCCTCCCAGGCATCCTGGAGATGCTGCAGCTTGCAGAATCCAAAGCAGTGGGCTCTCCGACCTTCTAATATCATTACAGCATGACAGACAATTCATTCGCCGTTGGCTTTTTTTTTCCTTCTTCTTTCTTTCTGAAACTGTAACCTTTCATTCCAGGCTACTCCCGAGAGCTGGACAGAGGAAGTGGCCGGCTGACTCATTTCTGTCATTAAAGAATGACAGCTGGGCACTTGATCCATTTTAAGCAGCAGCGTCTCGGCTCACTCCCTCCGGGGAGAGTGCCTAGTTTGGGATCGGCCCTTGTGTCTGAGGGGTGCTGTTGGACGATGCTCTGGGCAGAGAATCTTGCCTTCCCACGGTCCTCCTGGGCGGCAGTCAGGGCAAGGCCTATCTGTGGGAATCCTGGCTCTGTCCCTTCCTCGCCGTGTGACCTCAGGCAAGTTATCTCTCTGGGCCTATTTTCTTCATCTGAAACAGGAGAATGGTACCCACCTCGTTGGGATGTTTGTTGTGAGGATGACATGAAGTCACGTCAGTGGAGTGTCTACAATACACGAGGCCTCGGCACGCAGTGGTCCCTCCCCTCCTTCCCACCTGTTCCCAGCTAGCAAACACACCAGGCAGGGGGCCTCCTCAGTGCTGGAGGGCCTTCTGAAAACAGTAGCCCTGTCGCCCTCCAAAGACCTTGTGTGCTGGAAACCCATTGCTCGCTCCTCTTTCCCATGCACCAACCGACCAATTCAAGTGGCTAAAGACAGATGTTACCCAGGGCCAACTGGGTGTCCACCGTGGTCTCAGTGACGGGCTGTGTGCAGGACCTCTGCCTCAGCTAGTCCAAGAGTTCACGGCTGGAGGGGGATGGGAAAGGAGATGCTGCCTGGTTGCCTGCGTCCCTGATGGAAGTCAGTGTTCTGGAGGAACAAGGATTGGTTTCTCAAACCCGGATTCGGCTTTACATATCAGCTGCTGACCCTCACCAGCTATGGGTTTGTGAAGATTCTTGGTTCAGAACGTGTCTCCAGCTGGTCGGTGCCTCAGACTTAGTGAGGCCCTTCTGAAGGGTCAGCGTTGGCCCAGGCGATGATTTATTTATTATCTTCAATCAAGGCATCTTTTTTTTTGTGATCATCAAATTTTTAAAAGGAACCTTTATGTCACTATCATGAATAAATAAAAAACAGAATCATTTCGGGATGCCTGGGTGGCTCAGTCGGTTAAGCGTCCACCTTCGGCTCAGGTCATCATCTCAGGGTCCTGGGATCAAGTCCCGCATTGGGCTCTCTGCTCAGTGGGGAGTCTGCTTCTCCCTCTCCCTCTGCGCCCCTCCCCTCCGCTCATGTTCTCTCTCTCTCAAATAATAAAATCTTAAAAAAAAAAAAAAAAGAACCACAACAGAATCATTTGTCATAAACAGAAGGCAACGCTAAAAACAAATATGATGAAAATGAAACCATTAGCTCTAGCCAGATACCGCTGGCCCGCAAGACTGAGCCCGGGTCTGGTTTCTCTGGTCAAAGGGAGAAGTAGCAGGTGCCCAAGAGTGGCAGAGCACCGAGAGCCTGGCCACACTCTGCTTCGGGGGCCTCACCTGTACCAGAGGACCTCACTCGAGGAAGCACTGGGAACGTGGCTAGGAGGCCCAACTGACCACCTCATAGCTGGGTATCCGGGATGAGTCACTGAACGTCCGCAAGCCTCAGTTTCCCTCCCTGTATAAGGGAGCTAATGAGCCCTGCCCTTCCTGCTTCGTGGATAATGTGGATGATGCTTTGGGGCAGCTAGGAGATGTGGGAGAGGAAGTTATTTTTAACCACCCAGCCAATTCCCCTGCCAGGAAGGAATCCCAGGAATGAGGCCTTCCCCGTCCAGGGGTGCCTGGAACTAGAGCTTGCTCCCAGCCCCTCCCCAGGCAGGGAGCAGGGAATGGCAGCCGTGATGGCACCAGCATCCCCTGGACTCACCAGGTACCAGTTATCATCACCCTGGGCTGCTTCAAAAAACAGAGCTGAGGTCCCAGATCCCATCCCAGATCACCCTTTGCCTTAAAGGCACAGCCACATCCTCCCTG